TGACCATTATAGTGTGTTGTCACACAAAGGTAGATGGACTAGGTCACTCAGAGTGGCTCATTAAGGCAACTAAGAGATGCATGAAGACAAACTGTGTGCAGCTTCTGCCAACCTAGCACATCACATTGTTCTGTCACAAACTTTTCTTTTATAGGTAGAACATATTCAAAAATGTTAAAATCTCACCATAATAATCATGTGACCAGGAACATAGTAAAGTATTATCAAGTGTTGTACATTATATATAATTTGAGAGGCTACACTTTTAAGGTTATTTTAATGTGTGTGTGTGTGTGTGTGTGTGTGTGTGTTTAGGAGCCATGGAGACTAGAAAAGGACAACAGAGCCCCTGGAGCTAGACTTCAGATATTTGTGAGCCACCTATTATGATTATGGCTGCTGGGAACCAAACACAAGTCCTCTGAGAGAGCCAACAGTGCTCTTAACCACTGAGCTATCTCTCCAGCCCATGTACTACATTTTTATTAATATGCCACTCCACCAGAGTAGCATATTAATCTTATAGAACCACATATATGTGGTCAAAGCGTCATCAAATAGTACTGTGCATAACATGTGTGTATGTCTATGCAGCACACGTGTGCCTGAGGTACACACATCATAAGAGATCATCAGAGCCCCTGGAACTAGAGTTAAGGATGGTTGGGAGCCACCATGTAGGTGTATGAAATTGAACCTGGGACCTGAGTTAGAGCAGCCAGTGCTCTCAGTCACTAAGCCACCTCTCTAGTGTCCCCTCTTTTTTTTTTTTTTAACCTTCTAATGGACTTGTGTCAGCCCAGCATGCACTTCTGACCACATGCACTTCATGGTCCCCACCTTGGCTCAAGTCCCCCTGCACTTGTGTCCCCTGGGTTCCATCCTACCTCCTTGCTGTGGGTATTCCTTCTGTGTTCTTGGACCAGAGATCTTCTTAAAGCCCCCCCCTCCATAATTCATGTTCACTCTAACCTGCTAGGTAACCTTTGCCCACCTAGTCAGCTGCTTCCTGCAGTGATTTTAGCCTATCTGTCTGTCCTTCAGTTCCACAGGCTTCTCCTCAGGCCCTTCAACCTTCCCTTCTCCCCTGTGTGAGATGACTCACCCCATCCCTGCCCCACCCCCAAAGTCAGCTCCTCCTCAGTCTTCAGAGTTGAGTTGAACTCAAACATCACTTCCAGAGCCCTAGATTGGATCAGTCATCCTCCTAAGTCAACTCTAATCAGATTGCAATGTCCACAGTGGCATATAAATGAGTCCTTTCTGCTCTAGGCTGCCCGGGGGCAGACAATGGCATTGTTTTTGCCTGCTTTCCCCTCACCTAGCCTAGGATTGGAGTAAGGCAGACACCCTGTCACCCTAGAGTGAGTCCTGCTGAATGAGAAGGCTGCCAATCAAGGACAGTAAGAGTCAAAGCTCAGGCCAATCCCAGATGAAGGGAGACCCCCTCCTTGTGATGACTCCAGGGGCTTATCTCTCACTGGCCAGCTAAGTAGCTTGTGACTCTGGGTAAGGAAGAAGGGAGAGGCTTTGGGGAGATTAGATAAGGGTGAGTCTTGATACATGATAAAGGACAGCTAAAAGTACTAGAATCCTATTTTGGATCCAATATGGAAGTGTTCAAGGGTATCTAGTTAAAATAAGCAAATAGAAAAAAAAGTAACACTTCAGAGAGGCTGACTCAGCTGGGAGCCTTGATGAACCTAGCCCCAGTTCTCTCCTTCCCCCTCCTACCAAAGAATAGTCTAGTGAGCCCTCACTTAGCTTCATGTGTTTCCAAAAACCTGCTCGTTCAAATAGCCTCTTAAGCCTCCTACCGCCTTTAATCCCAGAGCTCCAAGGCAGAAACAGGTGGATCTCTGTGAGTTTTAAACAGTGCTTCTCAGGCTAGCCAAGACTGCAAGTGAGACCATATCTCAAACAAACAACAAAAATCAATAAATATGCAGAATCGACTTCTCTGCTTTGGCCACCTCTGCTAAGTCCTCTGCACACCTCAAATGTTTCCCATTGGCTTGGCCTCTTCTTCCTTCTCTTCTCTTACAGTGTCCCTTCCACCCCTGCTTCTCTCATCTGAAAAGCTGAGGGCCATTCTGGCTCCTACAGAGAAGACAGCACTCGAGGGGTAATGACTCCCTAGGGAACATGCCAGGTCCTCGGGGTCACAAGTGAAGGTCGGGGGGGAGGGGTGGAAAGTCAGGTCAGCAAGCCTTTAAAGGCCTAGAACCTGAGGGCAAGGAAACGTTGCCTTCTTTAGGCTCTGACTCCCCCTGATATACCAACTCCTACCCTTTGTGTGTGTGTGTATATATATATATATATGTATTGCGGAGCTAACGATGACTCAAGAGTTAGTGCAGGAGCTGGCAAGATGGTTCAGTGGGTATAAATGTTGCTCTGTTAATCCCACCAGTTGAGGATAAGATCATTACCACAAATTTTTGAGTCAAATTCAAAGCAGGCTTTATTAAATACTGGCCAGGACCTTGGGTAATAGACAGCTCTGTACCCAGAAGTCCCAGAGTATGGCACCAATTTATACTAGTTACGGGTTTATAAAGGCAGACTCCACCAGGCTATATACTTCCTGGCTTCATCCAATCAGAGTCAAGCATACACCCTGACATGCATCCAGCCTACATGTGACCAAGCACATATCCTGTGCAGTTGGCGCAACCAAGCTTGTTTACAGAAGCGAACACCTGGAGCTTATTATCTTACATGAACTACAGCCCCCAGCATTCTGAGGAAGTTATTTGTTATTGAGCAAGTGGGGCTTACAGGTTAGAGGCATTGTGTGTGTGTGTGCATGTGCGTGTGTGTGTGTGTATTTACATACAATAATTTAAGGTTAAAACATAACATTGGCCATCACACCACCAAGCTTAATGACCTGAGTTTGGTCCCTGACACCCACATGGTAGAAGGAGAAAACCATCTCTTGCAAGTTACCCCCCAACCTCCTACACACACACACACACACACACACACACACACACACACACACACAAATACCAAAGAAATGTAACTGAGAAATTTTTAAAAGTTACTTCAGGCCTTGTCTGCTGCAGAAAACTTTCCTAAACTTAGGACTCACTTCCTCCCCTCAGCCACTCTGTTAATGGCTTCCATACCGGAAATAGGATCTAGGAAAGCTGGCTAGAATAGCCTATCTCTTAGCTCCCGTTGCCTGACGTGGAATGGGCAGACAGACAGACTTCTGTGTGGCTTTGGTAACATGTTGAAAGCTTACAATGAACCCTAGACAAACACCATTCACCATGTTTTTTCATATTCAAATACTTTCTACATAGATAATTGCCATTCGCTCGTATCTCTTACCCGGATGTAATAGTAGGGATGGATGAGATCCAATCTATTTAAGATAAAACAACCACGCTTACTCATTGTGTACTTGAGCCAAAATTCAAACAAAATTAATGTTCATAAAATTCCAATTAATCAGCATTATGTGAAATGACCTCAGCTCTATGCAACACAAAATTCTCTTTTTTTTCTTAATAATACTTTTTAATGAGTGATCATTTTGTTTTTTAAAATGATGGCAAATAATATAAAAATTCTAGATAATTTAAATTTACCTAAAAATAGATGCTAGAAGTAGTTCCGAAGCTTTAAACATGCAAACATGCAGATGAAAAGTTTAGGGAGTTTGCCTGTCTGATACAAGAGGAGGCTGTGTTAATCAGTTTTTGGTTGCAACAAGTACTCAAGACAATCAACTCATAAAGAGAAAATGTTTTATTTTTGACTCACAATTTCAGAGTTTCAGTCCATGACGGCTCTGTCTCACCATGTTGAGGGGAGAAAGCACATCACAGGCCACTTCATGGCCAGGAAGGAAAGGATAGAAAAAGGAAGAGACTGAGCAAGGTCTTGAAATGGCATGTGTCAGTGGCCTCAAGACCTGCCCTTGGACTCTACCTCTTTACATTCCACCTCTCCCAATGGTACCTTGAGGCACTAAGCCTTACAGCCTTTGGCACAGGATCTTTAGGGAACACTTAATATCGAGACTATAGCAAAGAGCATAAGATCTGAAAAGTCCTCTATTATCTCTGCCTGTAGGGCATCACCAGAGCTGGACATGGCGGCTGCCTGACTACCCTTCAGCCCCCTGCGTGGATACTGCATTGTCTCGGGCACCTCCCTTGACCATCACTCTCTCTATGTTCTCACCTGAAAGTTCACTGTTCCCTTGTTGCCTGTACTCTATTTGACCGAGCATCACACAGGAAACCTTCCTCTATGCTCCTGTTGATGTTGCCTGAGTGCCCCAATCAGGGCCTGGGGCAGGTGCAGAACACCCAGGGGGGAAGGAACTGCCACCCTGCCTGTGCACATGCCCGTTTCTCATTTAACTACTCTCCCAAAAGTCAGCTTCCACTCTGGATCCACCACATCCTTTCCCCAGCTCTGCCTTTCTAAGCAGGTACCAAGCCAGAAGCAGAACAGTACAGTCAGAACAAAGCTTCTCCTTTGCAGGAATTTCCAGCTTTACTGAGGCATATTTACAGTAATTCCACTGAGACACCATGGTGCTCACAAACATAATGCTTTTAATATCTTTAAAAAGCTCATGTGTATGAGCATATATCTACATGTATGTAAGTGCATTATATGCATGTCTGATACCTTGCCAGAAGAGGGCACTTACTCCCTTAGTACTAGAGTTACACACAGTGGTAACCCACAATCTGGGTGCTGGGATTTGATCCTGGGTCCTCTGAAAGGGGAGAAAGTGCTTTTAACCACTGAATCACCTCTCTGGTCCCAAGAACATGATTTGCTTTACTTGTGCCCCTGGCTGTCCTAGAACTCGCTATGTAGAGTGAGCTGGCCTCAAACTCACAGACATCTGCCTGCCTCCCGAGTGTTAGGATTAAAAGCAAGCGCCACCACAACCCAACAGGAATATTCTTGATATAAAAATGCTTGTATTGTTCCCATTGAGTTAAGATGAAGTTTTTGTATTTCAGGTGGACCCTCAAAAGGGCTGCAAAGTGGACTTGGTATTTAGCACAGAGCAATACAACCTGGAGCAGGTAAGCCACCCCAATTGGCGATGCAGCTTATTAGCAAGGTCCATAAGTGGCGCTTGTCTTTAGAGGAAGAAGTGCGAATATGAACAAATAAAGCCTGGAGAGCTTCTCTTTTCATCCTATTTGTTTGTAAGAATGGAGGAACAAAGCCGAGGAGACTGAGTGCCCACCGCAGCAGTGGGGCGGACCCGCAGGTGGCACGTGCCCTTACCCTTCATGAGGACAGGAAAACAGCTTATTGAGTATGCAGCAAGAGGGCAGGAGGACGGGCAGGAACTAGAAAGCAGCCTGCAGGCAAGGAGGGATTGCTGGGGAGACTCCACTGAGGAGTTACTTTTACAATTATAGTAAATTCTTTTCTGAAATCGATATGCTCAGTTTTCATTTTTAAATATTTTAATGTATTCTTTCATATTTTCATACATATACAATGTATTTGAACTTCTCCAGCCCCTGGTGCCTTTCTCCAATTCCTCCCGCTAACACCCACCAACCTACCTTCCTCCCGCTAACACCCACCAGCCTACCTTCCTCCCGCTAACACCCACCAACCTACCTTCCTCCCGCTAACACCCACCAGCCTACCTTCCTCCTTCAGGCCCATTCTTGTTATTAGGAGTAGCCCATTGAGGCTAATTAGTATTGACCACATACAGATGTATTGGCGGCCATCCACTGAGGCATGGGCAAGCTACCAGCGGCCACATCACCAAGGAAAAGTGAGTCTGGTCTCCCTAGCAGCCATCAACTGCCAATAGTTCCTCGGCTAGGGGTGGGGCCTCAGCAGGCCACCACATCTGCCCTGTCATGAAAGACAGCTTTAAAAAGTGGTTTTCTGCAGGGCGGTGGTGGTGCATGCCTTTAATCCCAGCACTTGGGAGGCAGAGGCAGGGGGATTTCTGAGTTCAAGGCCAGCCTGGTCTACAGAGTGAATTCCAGGACAGCCAGGGCTACACAGAGAAACTCTGTCTCTAAAAACCAAAAAAAAAAAAAGTGGTTTTCTATGTATGGGTGCTTTGCTTTCATGTATGTCTGTGCACTAGGTGTGTGCCTGGTGCCCTTGGAGGCTAGAAGATATTAAACTTCCTAAAACTGGGGTACTGACAGTTGTGAGCCAGCGTGAGCGCTGGGAATCGACCCTGGGTCATCTGGAAGAGCAGCTAGGACTCCCATCGCTGCTCTCTCCTAGCACAAAGACAGCCTTTCTGTCGTTTTCATCCCCACTCTTCTGGCTCTTCCATTCTTTCTGCACACTCTTCTTTGATGTTCCCTGAGCCTTGAATGAGGGATGTTGATATAGATGCCCCGTTTGCTCATCTGTGACTGAGAACCCAGTCATTTATCCTCAGCATTTTGACCAGCCATGAGTCTCAGTGTTAACTGCTATTCGCTGCAAAAGGAAAGTTCTCTGACCAAAGTTGAAAGTGGCATAAACCTAAGGGAATAAACATAAATAGTTACAGCAGTGTGACAATGTGACCATTTATCAAAACAGCACCCCTGGGACCAGTGATTTCCCAAGGTAAGGCTTACAGTATCAGACATGAAGTCACTCCCGTAGGGCAGACCTCACACTCTAGCAGAAACTGACTGGTTACCTCCGAAAGCATCACGTCAACGGTGCTTTCCTGGCAGGCCAGGTTGTAGCTTACAGGGTGCTGAGGCTCTTGATCACCTTTCTCCCCCAGCAGTGAGAGCAGTTTCTAGCTCTGTGAGAACCAGCCAGCAAGGAGCCTTTCCTGGTCAGCTGGAGACTGACTTCTTGATGTTTCTGCAACCATGGTTGGTGTCTTGAGTAACAGGATCCTACTATTTAGTCAGGATGTTTTGAGTACCTCCAGGACCTCCCTGACTTTGTAGCGAGGTCTCCTGTGCCCAGCATTTGTGTTTCTTTGAGTACCATTTCATGAAGTACAAGTCCTGTCACGTGACGGCAGACTGTTGTGATTGGCAGGTGTACTGTTCTGAAAGTTAGCATGAGCCACTTTGCACATAATTTCCAGGTGTGCAGTCTCAGCCATATAAACAGGGACTGTGCAAATTAGAGGAATCCCAGATGATCACATATCTGTCCTGGTCAAAGGCTCAGGTCCCTGATGTCAGGCTGCAGTTCTGTGGCTACTGCACTCTGTGGCAGTTTGGAATTCCTAGAGCATGCCTGGAGACCAGCTTCCTTTTCTGATCTCTTACTAATGGCTTCACCAACGAGTGCTTTATACATCTACATTTAAAAATGTCCACATACCTGTTTTTTTTTCCCCCTTCCCTAGGGCCCCTAGGAGTGAATTTCACAGCTCTCTTGGGTGTCCCTCCTCATACTTCATAGTCCTTTCAATGACTCACTATGGAATGCCAATGTGTTCTTTTTCCTGTCAGCTGGTGACATTTCTAGTTGGCAGGCTGGCATAGCACGAGGCCAATTCCATATCAGGCTAAAGAATCACAAACATAGAACACAGAGCAGGGCCCATGCATGCCGTAGGCATTACCTGCCTCCCTGCAATCCCCACCACACAGCCCATGATTTGCTAAGTTGCCTTCGTCCCATTTTCAGGGGGAGAGTAAGCAGAAAAAAGATGTGGAAATCAGAAGCAGACGAACATCCCTGTGAGGAGCTAGGCTGAGAGGCCAGCCCAGATTGTCAGCAGTGGTGGTCTGAGTCGAAGCCTGGGAATTTCAGGCCATGCAGCACATCAAAGGATCACAGGGAGGCAGAGCATCCGGGATAAGGCATGCCATCCCTAACCCAATGCCTCTGGAAGAAAGCTTACTAGAATTCACAACCAATAAACCCAGACTTGGCTTATTAACCTTATAGTTTATTTTTCCTCAAAGGATTAGAAAGATGCTTTTGATTTCTAGTTTTGCAAACTGAAAGCAGGAGAGGAAAGCTAACGGGATAAAAATGACTGGGGTTCTTCTGACCAACAGCACGTTCCTCTGGACTTAGAATAGAGTAAGTACAGTAAGAGTGCAGCTGGCTAGCAGGAGTGGAGGTCAGCTGTCCCTCTTCACAGCACTGCCTCCATGGAGCTGGCTGGTAGGTTAAACAGAGGAGACATTGTACCCAGCTCCTTTCCTCTTCTTTAGGGATGGCAGACACCAAAGGAGCAGGAAGGCTGCTCTGAAGGGAGCCTTTCAGTTCTTCCATGCAGCACCAGCAATTAGCATGTTAATGTGCCCCAGAAGCCCCTCCCCCACCCAGAACAGGCATTGTAAGAGAAAAGTTGCCCCATGGCAAGCTTATTTTGGTTCTTTGAACTAGTTCTAGAAGCAGGCTTATGTTGAAGATCCAACTTGATTATAATTTCTTTCACTGTGGGCCGTTCGAGTTTATTTCTGGTTCTTCTTGCTCTAACCAGGATGCCATTTAAACCACAGAAAAGAAATGAAGGTTGTTGCTTTGGCTGTTCCACCAGCCACATTTGGATAGGACACCCAGACTAGGAGCCCACGGCTTGGCTTGGGTGAGGCTTTGGCGAGTGACTGTGAACTCCTCATTCCAAGTCTAATGTTGGTGGTGTGAGCATACACATTTTTCTGGGGATAGGTCCTTGGCTCTAATGCTCAAGTTAAAGAACCATAACCAAAATGGGGAAAAATTACTATCTAAGAGAAGTCAACTGAAGTCTAAGAGAATCTCCGATGTTTTTGGACTTGAAATAAGTGAGGGTGCACAGAGAGTCCACAATATGAGGATGATTGGGGCATCTAACTTGGATTAGATCTCAGAATAGGCAAAATTATTATAGCAGGGGTTAGTAAGCTGAGCTCAGACAGGAAGCAATTCAAGTACTAAGAGCTTATGACATAGAGTGGGTTCCTTTCTAAACTTTAGCATTTTGGTCTTTAAACAGAATGAAAGGAGCAAATTCATGCATGGACATGCTTGTGTTTTCGTTAATAGGATCCAGCTTTGTCTTCCGATTCAAGTTAGTAAGCTTAATACCCAAGTACTCTTAAGAACCAACTAAGTGTTGGTTTTAGAGAGAGCAAAGCAGCCCCTATCCTACAAGTCTGAGCCAAGAAGGGCTCAACAGTCATCAATGCTATTTCTTAGCAAGATACCCAGCATTATTATGTACAGAGGAAATCAGAAAGTGAACACTAAAGGGACAGCAAAGATCAAAGACTACTGTACTGCTGTGTCTCAGCTTCCAGACAAAGGATTGGTCTGGCTCATAGTCCATCACAGCAGGGAAGTCACTGCACCTCCAACCGGAGAGCAGGGAGAGATGGATACATGGGCGGTTCAGCAACTTTTCTCCGTGTATACAATCCAGGATCACAGACACCCACAGCAGATAGGCTGATTAACACAATCAGCGTAACCCCCTCAGTCATGCCCATAGGCCCATCTCCCAGGTGATTCTGGGTCTATAAAGTTAACAAACTCACTGGACTCTTGCTTTGTGTGTTTGTGTAAACTGCAGCGAGCACAGTTGAGAAGGAACCTTCCTGGGTAACTTCAAAACTTTTCTTTCAGGAAGGTGAGGAACACTTAGGCAAATGTTCTGCGAGGGTGTTTTTCAAGAATGAAAAACCCAGACCGGCCATTAACGTAACCTGCACTCAGCTCTTTGATAAAGTGACGAGACAAGAAAAGGATTATCTGCTTTACAAGCAGATGAAGCAACTGAAGACTCCTCTGGACATCGTCAGCATACCTGGTATGAATCAGCAACTGGGTTTCCTATATCAGGAGATATATATAATCAGTACAGCTATGGATTATGATATCTCATTATTTAAACAAGGCTCAAGGGTATCATGTTCTGTCCATCTCTATAATATACTAATGCTACCCAAAACTGAGTCTCTAGAGCTGACCATTTTCATCCTAGAATGAGGACCCAAGAGCTGACTCTACAAATAAGAAACAGAAGATTTTGAAAAAAAAAAAGTGTGTAGATTATAGTGCAGATGCCAGGGGAGTCGAGAACCTGAGGTGACATTTTTAGCGCTTTGTTGTTAGCCTTGGGGAGGTTTAGTTGACAGGACACCCTGTGCCTACACTCAGCCCCTCTTCCCCAGGGCTGGCTGAGTGGCTGACTGGGCCGCTCTGGGCTGCTGCCGTAGGGGCCATCTCTCTCTCTCACTTCAGGTCAGTGGCTAATGGGCAGTGGAGCCTTCTCCAAGAGCTGTGCCCTGCCCTCTGCAGTGACTCAGCTGGAGTGCAGCACAGCTCATTTTTCTTGGCACTCAACAGAGCGTGTGGGCAGCAGGAGACACTCAGCACTTACTGGCAAATCCAATTTCCCAAGCCACAGAAGTCATCTCTGGACTTGCACTAGGGTAGGAGCTTGACCTCTGGCCATTGCAGCACTCTCCATCCCATACTCTCTGCTCGTTTGCCCAGACACCCCTCTATTCCTCATCTATACCCCAGAACCTCAGGCTTCACTCCTGACTGCATCTGCCCCCACTTACTGACACTAACTCATACCTGCAATGAAGACTGCTGCTTGCATTTCTAACAGAATCTCGAATGATTCTCACTCAATGCTTCATTGACAACAAGGACCAAATCTTGAGCCAAAGAACTATGCTATGAGAATTCAGAATATATTTTTGAAGATATTCATGCTGCTTGGAATAAGTGAATTAATGACTAATATTTAGAAATCCACAGTTACATGGGGGCCTTGTTTCCCCTTTTAGTTTGGGAAATAGGGCTCATTTGCTCTTTAAAAAATGATTTTTAATTACGTGTGTGTGTGTGCGTGCACATGTGTGCTCATATGCATGTGTGTCAATGTGCACATGTGAATAGTCATGCCCATAGAGTTCAGAGGAAGACAGCAGATCCCCAGAGCTGTAGTTACAGGTGGTCTGAGGCTGTTTGATATGGGCTTTCTTCTGTAAGAAGAGTACAGGTTCTTAACTGCTGACATTGTAGACGACATTTTCTAGAAATATTTGCCACACTCTCATTAGCTTTGGGATACTTTTCTTCCTTTCTTTCTTTCTTTCTTTCTTTCTTTCTTTCTTTCTTTCTTTCTT